TCCTGAAAAAAATTTTTAAAAAAATCACCAGATGGCAACAAGACCAAATTCAAACCCTTTTCCTAAATCATTCCCACACCTTTGATGATGATCATTTCTGGATCTCTTCCACACAGACTGAACACTGTATCCCAACCACATACTCTGACAAACTTAAAGTCAGACCAGCTTTAAGCACTGGGAGAACCTGGCTCTGATTGGTGGAGCTCAGCCTGCTCTCTCCCTGTATGCTCTTTGTCTGACACAATCGGCCGTTCACCTACATGTTTCCTAATCCTTGTAATGCATGACACATGTTACTGGGACAGGCTCTCTAATGTCCCCTGCACTGGAAACTTATGCAACGTACAGTACATGAGTCAGCAGCACATAATGTGTCCCCGAGTCACACACACACACACACACACACACACATGACCTGAATAGCTAACGGTTTGGAAAAGACACAGTGAGAACAAGATAAAAATAGACAAAACAAAGTTTTCACCAGAATCCCGAGGTCAGCTGACTGTGTCACCGAAGGACAAAAACTTGTTTTTATGTAAACCCAGAGTCAGGAGCGCAGTACTGTACCGTACCGATCATGTTGAGTGGTTCGTACTCCTCTTCCTCCTCTGGATCAACCTCAATCCCTGCAGCCGCTTCTTCTGCAGCGACCAACCTCTGGCCACGTCCTGAGGGAAAACAACAACAGAGTCGTACAGTGACTACATGATGACATCATCAACCAGGATGGCCGAGAGGTTAAGGCGTTGGACTTAAGATCCAATGGACACATGTCCTCGTGGGTTCGATCCCCACTCCTGGTATTTTCCATCAGGAGGTCACTGAGGTCAACGGCTATTTTTAACACCATATATTTATATATTTTATCCCTTATTTTATGGATATATTGTCTAATGTGTTGACAGTTTCAGTCTGAAGACCTTTTGTTTTTTTGTTTAACCATTTTTGGAAATATGCAAATGAGAACACGCTCGTTCTGGTATCATTTAAAAAGATTTTTGTTTACTACACAAAACCATTTTCAGAAATATGCAAATGAGAAGACGCTCGTTCTGGTATCATTTAAAAAGATAATTGTGTCAGGACGACTGTAACAATGTCATGGATTTTTTTCTCATTGAAAACAATAACAAAATAAAACATTTCTCTTATTATTAGAGATGAAAATGAAAGACTGACCCCAGGAGTGTGATGGCCGAGACAGTGAAGGACCAGCCTCAGGAATCCCTGCATAATTTACTGCCTCCTCCCACAGACGGTTGGGTAGTGGAGGGGGAAGATGCATGTTCTGCCCTGCAGCATCTTCAGGAAGAGGAATGAAAACTGGAGGAGGAGCTGGAGGAGGAGGAGATTCTTCATTCTGTCCGACTGAAGGTGCTGGAGCTGCAGGACCTGGAGCTGCAGGACCTGGAGCTGCAGGACCTGGAGCTGCAGGACCTGGAGCATCCTGAGGCGTTTCTGGGGGAGTGGTCTGAATACATAGTGCAGCGTTAGGTGTTAGACCAAGGTCTCTCAGAGAGCAAGAGAGTTCTGTATTCCCGAAACGTTTCCGAGGGAAACCCTGGAGGAGAGAGAAGGAAGTCAGAGCGGGATGGCATCTGGAGATGTGCTCCATCACGCTGCACAGAGGGGCGTCGGCTGGGAAGCGCTCACGCATAGACTCGCCGGATGGCAGTCGAATCTGCGACAAAGACACAAAACACAAAAATCTGTGACTTGTCTCTTTCTTCTGCACAGCGCAAAAGAACGTGTCATCTGATGACATACCATGAGGATGCACTGATTGTCAACATTGGTCTTAATCGTTCCTCCAAGTCTTTGTCCTTGTCCACTGGGGGGAGACATTTCTGTGACGGTGCCCGTCTGTGATTTCTGCTGCTGGCTCTTACGATCTTCAGCTATTCGCTTTAACACTAATTCACGCTCCTGGTGGGAAAGAATATTGAAAGTTTTCTTTAAACAATCCAACATTTTCTGTCAACCTGGCCTTTCCAACCAGAGAAGTCCAGTCTGAATGACACGGCTCACCTGTTGCTTCTGTCTCCTCTCTGCTTTGGCCTCTTGAGCAAGACGTTGTCTTTCTTGCGCTTCAAAGTCACTAGTGTCTAATTTGAGGCGAGACTCGACAGTCAGGGGTTCAGGGGATGAGTTGTCAGACGGTGGTGATGGTAACGCTGTTAAATCCAGAAAAACACTAACATTCAGAAATGCTTCTGTGGTCAATCAACAAACAAAAGAGAAAACACAAAACTGTGAAGTAAAATCTAATGTACTACACAGCACCTCTACCTTCACTGGGAGATGTGAGCATGAATGACGTTGACGCTGCTTCTTTCGGGGGGTTGAATGCGGATATCGCTGACTCAGCAGACTGGTTGGACTTTTTGAGCAAACTGTGTCGTGGGTATTGACCCTGCAGGAGCCTGTTATTATAAAAGGACACATGTTTTACTAAAGTGCGATTCCTACAAAAAGAATGAAAAGAACAAATTGCGATTGTCAAAAGAAATCACCAATCAGCTGCATCAGGGACAGAGAAGTTCCCCGCCGCCACAGCTGCCTGGATCTGCTCCTCTGAAAAACCCATCTCACTGAGGATGAGGAATAACTCCCCAAAAGTCTGCGGAAAAAGAAAATCCACAGTCAGCAGAAATTAAAAAAAAGAAGGAAAATGGCATCCATCAAGAAGAGAACTACTAAGCAAATAAATCAAGTGGTTTCCAGTGACACTGCATTGATTTGGTTGACCTTTAAAACTGAATCTAGAATTTCATCTAAATATCAACGTCCCAGGTCGATATGAGCCACGTCACAACAAACAATCAACTTAAGCAAATATCACACTCTGGACGACCAACCTGATGAGAATCATGTGATGAGGCCATGATGTCGTTAGGTCCTCAGCAGACAAGCTACAGTTCCACAGACATTCTGCTGTTGTAACCAGTTGTCATTCTACTAAAACCATTTTCTGACTTTCATCTTTTTGTGGTTTTCTGTGGTAAGGCTGGATTGTGCCACAGATCAAAGGCAGTAGCCTAAATGCTAAGCATTTGTTTTGTTTTTGCTACAGAAAAGGAAGCAATGCACAAACTGCACCTGTTATTTCACTGATAACAGTCTCGGGATGATTCAACATGTGATTATCACCACACCCGAGTTTAGGTATGCCTTCATCATTTATGTCCTGCTCTCTGCTCTAACTGCTAATTGGAAACATGATTTTTTTTCAGTTTTCTTGTTCAATAGCTTTAGCTTTTAAATACTATTTTTTGTAAAAGCCATGATAATAAAAAAAAACAAAACACAAACAGTTACCGTTGTCTTACATTTATACAGCATGGCTCACAATGACCAGCACTTTTACTTTTCAAACTCTCATTCATTTCTAAGTGGCCCCTTAAGTTTCACTACTTTCTCAGAATAAAAACATGGATAAAGAAAGAAGTAAACAAATGTATGCTGAAAAAAAACCCACGAAGCTAAAGCTGCGCTGACGCTGCTATTATGTTGTTGTTGTTGTTGTGTGTGTTTACTGGAATCAAGATGTCAACAAGCTGGGTTAGCAGCATGCTAGGATTTAAGCAGCTAACAGCTAGTATCGGAGCCGATCCGTACCAGAAACCCGACGTTTTCTACGCATGTGCGACAGTGCGGCTACTCCAGTGTTGTGGAGACCAGACCTTTGAAATAAATAAAAAAATAAACGCATGTAACTTCAATCAGGAGAATTACGTTGGTGGACGTTCTTTAGCAAAATGTAAATCGCGTCAAATCATGCAAAAAACGGTACAAAACAAGGGGTCAGCATTTTCAAGAACGTATTGACAATGCAATGCACTTTGAATGTATGTAGGAATTTACAGGACTCAAGACCAGCTCATCACCACGTTTATTCAACTTTTATACAAAAAAGGGAAAAAGATAATGGCCATGTTAGAGCTAATGAAATTGAAATGAAGTATCGTGCCGTGAAATAACATTGCTGAGCATCTCAAGTTATGATTTTAACACTGTTACACATTAACTTTTAGCGATTCCACGCCATCTTTTTTTATATCTAATGGTAAACTCACGGCCTTGTCATACATTTGTTATCATTTACACACTGCTCCCCGGGCGCTTGACAATAAAGACTATAATAATAATAATTTTGAAACTCCAACTTAGTAACGGTACGTGAAAGCAGCACGAAGGCTCACGAAAACCTTTATTGCTGCACATGCGCAATACTATTCGGGTTTTCGGTAAGGATTTGGTAGCGTAACGCTAATGCTAGCTGGCTAACATCGTTATGCAGGACGTGTCACATAAAGATTAAGCAGCTGTGATGTGTCTTACCGTGGGAGCGGTAGAACTCATGACGTCGCTCCGATTTTTACTGCAAAGAAGAAAATGGCGATGTTACAGAATAACTTTGTTGACTTCACAATCGGCCCTGCGATGCTGCCTGCTAACATGCTAACGGCCGCACTAACCGTTCCCCCACACGCCCCGAGAGTGACAGAATGTCAACAACACGGCAGCCAATCACAACACTGGAGCACAGATCCAACCCAAACACACGTCCACTGACAGCGCTTGGAAACATCTCACCGAGCGGGAGTTTCTTAGTCATCGCTCTCAAGGCTCTCAAAATTCCAAATTTATCAAATAATAATATAATTTCACAGAAACTTTATTCTTTTGACATCGCCATTTTCCTACTCATAAATGGAAATTCTTGTACACACTAATATAATAGTGGAGGAGCCACATTTTTTAACAGATAAAGCCCGGCAGGATTTTTTTTATGTTTAGAGCAAGTGAACCTGCTAGCTTATACTAGCACAAGAATCCTCCCTCTGTGCCTCGTCACCCATTACTGGACCTTTGACACAAGGTGATGTGTATCATTGTGGTCTTAATCTATTCCTGTGGTTTTTAAAAATATATATTTTAAACAAATATACCCATCTGTCACGTCAAAATACACACATATAGTTACATATACATAATATATGTAACGAGTGACAATTAACAGCTTCAGTGTTTTATATCATTAATTTACTGTTAACTTTTGAAAAGAGAAAGGAAGGCAGAAGGATGGAAGGAAGATCGTACTAACTAAAGTCTGGGACCACAAATGGGTAAGACTAACCTATAAGAAAGAAAATAAAAGCTTTGATCCTTTAATCAATTTAACTTGAATAATCTTGCAGATATATTCTCATCATTCAACCTCCTGGAAGGACGAATTCACAGTGCAGCGGTTGACGAACACTGGGTGAAGGACAAAATGGAAAAAGGCTGAAATAGGAAACTGGCGAACTGACATTCCAGGAAGAAGAAGAATCCAGACAGAAGAGCTAAGATTATGGAACTCAACTTGTGGCTGCAGTTACAGTAAGTCTACGATAGAGGTCACCCGTGCGCAGCATATAGATTTTTTTTTCTACTGATAAAAGAAATGAAAAACTTTATTGACTCACACACGTTTCGAAGGACAAAGAATTGCAGCAGCTCCAGCCACTGAAAATACCGCAATGTTATAACTTGTTAGAATGAAGCAGTAACAAGGTAAAGAAAAAATATAATAGTCATTAATTAAACATAAACATAGTTTCTTTTGGTCTGAATACACCTGGTCATTTACCTGGTTTCACGTCAGCCTATAGAATAATAGTATACAAGATATATTGATATTAATATTAATAAGAAATTAAATTAATACGAAACCAAATATTTCTGTGTTTTATGTGTTTCTCAAGGATTCCAGGTAGAGAAGGATAGAAACAGAAGCAGAATTACCATTCTGTCAGTGTCAGACAATTCACTAGTTTATATGGAAAAGTGACTGATAAAACAGAACGAGGACAGTCTGGCTGTAATCCAAATGCTGCTTTCTTGGAGGGTTTATCTTGTTTTTCCAACCTTCACAACCCGAACACATCAACCTTGGCTTTTAATGAGTGTGATGTAAGTTCTGTGGTAATTTGCCAACAAATGAAAGTCGGGGGGGAACATTTGGTGGATCCTATGCAACCCAGAGAAGAATTCATAATGACCATGCCATAGAATCTCTCTGGCAGTGATGGAATAGTTGGTAGTGTGATTCTATTAATGTCCTGTAGTCTCGGCTGCAGACTTGGCTGCATCCTGCACAGCCTCAGCCTTTGTAGTCAATGCAGGTTTCACCCTAACCCAGAGTACAACACTGAAAGAGACATTTTTATCATTTTACCAACACATTAAATTCATGAACAATAATTTGTTGTCCTGTTAACCATCATGTCATTCTACAGAAAGAATTCACACAATTATATATTATTATAAACACAAAAATGCATATTTATACATGCAGGCGATGATTATTTCCAACATAGTAAATGTTACCTACAGTAACCTGAGGTAAAATTGCATTTTTGTACTTCAGTTCAAATTTTGCTTTTAATAAGTTACACTAAATGTCGCGGATTAATTAATATGTTGATTTATTTATTTTTAAACTACGCGCTGAAATAGCCGGCGGTCAAATAAGTGCGATAACAACGACGGAAATTTACTTTTTACTTTTTTTTTTCTAAAAATCAAATGCTCGTCATCAAATCGTCATCATAACGGAACGCGACCTTCTCTTCCTCTGGCGTACACTGGAATATGAATCATCACGTACGCAGGCGCAGCCACTTGTTTCTGAAGGAAGCTGCCGTAAATTGCTCCGAAATGAGCCGGGTTAAACCGGAATTGAAGTGTTGTTTTCTTAGCGAAAAAAAAATAATATCATCTCCATCAAAATTCAAAATGCGTATCATCACAACATATTATATGTAGGGATGTTTTTACAAATCATTGGATACTCTATACATGTCATACATTTTACGATTTCTACCGTAAACCGTCGTTTATCCGTGTCGACTTTTATTTTTAAATGTAGCCACCGGAAATGGCGGCATTTTTATTATTGCGTTTGACACCGGCAGGGCAAGTCATTCACAGAGAGAGTTTTTGAGGTGAGTACCACACCGGCGTGTTAATGAACCTATTAACTGTGTGTTTAAGTGAAACGTTTAACACTTGCTCTCCATAAAAATGGTCAAAGTCATGTTTTAAAAGCGTGTTTTCTCAGAGTAAGGCTCTCTTGTGTCCGTTGTCTCCTGTGAAGGGAAGCGCCAGGGATGACAGCCAATATGCCACACATGCATGTGCGTTCACAGCCGCTGCTGCTGCTGCTAAGGGATGACTTTGTCTTTGTTTCTCGGGTAGACACGATAAAAACTGTTTTTTAAATGGAAAAACCCTTTCTTTTCGACACACAGGTTTTGGTTCAAATGTTGACAATTACCGTTACTGCTCGTGACAAGAGCCACGGTGTGAAAGGTGATGTTCAAGGCTGCGGCAGAAAACAACTTATCTAATCAAATTTTCAAACAAAACAAAACCCTAAATAAAACATTCATCCATTTCCATGGAGAGCGGGAGTGGGTGCCGACGTTAGCTGGATTTATTTACCTCCAGTGTTAGGATTCTTTGCATGCAGGACGATTTTCTTTTTGCATGTTATTTGTTTCCCTGGCGTGTAGCGTGTACGTATAGTAGTCTCATTTACACCAGTCAAAACACCTGATAGCACCTCGGTTTGAACCGTTTCTTTTGAACAGTACAGAGTGTGGAATTTTACAGCATGTTCATGAGTCTTGACGCGTAAATTATTACAGGAATCAGACAGTTGTACTCACTTTTTCCAACTGTGGTCAGTGTATTTAGTGTTGGTGAGGTGAGAACATAAAAGGTGGATGTGTGCTATATTAAGTATTTTTATGTAGTAGTGACCAATAGCTGCGGTCCATCTCTGACCTACAGGTTCTACCAGGATGACTTTTTTTTTATTTTTAGATATAGGAACTGAAAATAAAGAATAAAATATGCACCACAGCTACCTCACAATCTTAGGAGCCTGCATCGCACTGAATTCAGCTTGCTTGCTGACAGCAAAACATCTGAATAGTGTGTTACACTGTCTGTTGTTGTCGTATTACTTGAACTTGAACTGAAGATCAACTATGCATTAACAAAATGGTGACTCTCACTGCAGTCACTACTTTTTTTCCATCTTGAGATGAAATGATGTCAGACGTCACTATGCACTGCCCTCTGCTGTTTTCTAAAAAAAAAAAAAAAAAACTAATTTCCAAATAGTAAAAAAAACAACCCACCACTGACGTTATGTTGTTTTGCCCTTAGCAGTCAAGCTAATGAGTCAGTCTGGGTGGACAAACATGGTCCCAAAGCGTCTGTGTTCTGCAGTGCTGCCAAAAGGTTTAGTGTTTGTTTAAAGGATGGTGACAAAGAAAATAGTTTGATTCTTTAATCTTGCTTGAATCAGCAACTTTATTTTACATAGAGGGAATTTAAGATTAAGAGCGCCATCTATTGACGTGTACCCTGTACCAAACTGTATCCCCTGTTTTGGGAAAGGTACCCTCCGTTTAGTGTTGTGTCACATGGCTAATGAGGTCACGTCCTCCAGCAGGATGGAGGAAGGATGTATCTCCTCTGCTGACTCACCACTATCATCTCCATGGTTATTAAAGGTTTTCTGAGGAGTGACAAAAAAACTGTTGAATAGCGTGAAGCGCAGGGGGGAAATATTCACTAACCTGTGGCACCGAAGATCAACAACACCTGATTATCCCTGAGCTCAGCGAGGACTCATTAGAAAACTGTAGATCTGAGCAGCTCACGCGGGAGGCGGGGTTTCAAACCCACCGTATGGATCATCTTATCTCGTCTGATTTGACTCTTTGGTCACGATTTGTTTTCGTCCGCCTCAGTGGAATTTGTCAAACAGACTTATTGTTATCGAAAGCGTAAATGGTAAAGCAGGACTCTCCACATTCCTGTTGCAAATTGCTTGGTCATGCAGAGAATTAAGGGGAAAAAAGGGCGAATAAGAAGTGCTTTTGTTCCTCCTTCAATCATAACCTCAGGGTTTTTCAGGTTAGTTTCACCTTCTCAGATAAACACCGTCATTCATGTCAGGCAGTTGTGTTCTTTTTTTTTTTCCTACCTTTAATCATTTTGTTGTTTGGTGGTGAGGGGGGTGTAGCTCAGCAGGTAGGGCAGTTGTTTGCACCCCGTGAGTTGTGGGTTCGATCCAGGTCTTGACAATTAACATGTAAATATTCATGGTCTTGGTTCATATTTGTGTTGCAGTAAAAACTCTGACCACTAGTTGATTGTGCAGGGACTGCATACATTTGCAAGTATTTCAGACTTTGATTTAAAGTCTTTTTTTTTTTGTTCCATATGAAGTTGAGCATATCGTGTGTTTTTTCTTTCAACGCACTCATTTCCATGCATGTAAATGCAACACGGTTGCCTTCATGGTATTAAATACTGAGTGGTGGTGAGCAGTTTCTTCCTATTTTGGATGTGAGCACAATGGACAGGCTTTTTATTAGCAGCCTCTTCATTCCCTCTGCACCCCAGGGACAGGTGCTGTGTTAGGCCTCGGCACAGCCGCTGCTGCTGCTGCTGCTGCTTCTCTGCCGCTGTGGACGTCTGTCCCTTTGGCACTTCAGCTCCAGTGTCTCCCATGGCACAGAGGGGGATAAAGATGGGCATAGATTACCTCCATTTGCAGCTGTTAGCTCTGTGTGTCCGTGTGGAGTGACATAACACGGCAACACTAACGTGCCGGACTCGGTGAGGTGGGCCGTGCACTGGGCTGTGACCAGACCAGGAGGCTGAGGGAGACGTCAGCATGTTGAAAGGGTTGAAAGACTCAGGACGTGGCCGGGTGACTTCTTACCCACTGAGCTATTTCAGGCCAAAAAAAAAACCGCTCCGAGGCAACAGAGGCAGAGCTATCAGCACACACCACAGCCTGATGCCTGGAGAGAGCTGCAGAGAGGTGCACGTACACCACCAGGTCACTGCTGGCATCACAGGGAATACGAAACTGTGATAAAACAGGACTGTGTTCTGCTGGGTTTCCTTCCAATGTTCCACATCAATGTGGCGTACAGAGCGGCTAACCTGGTGGAATATAGAGACGTTAAAGAATGACAGGAACTTAGAAAGAAAGAAAGTTTACCAGTTGTGTTAACTTTTAAGATAAAAAGCTAGGAAAAAACCAAAAGTCGGATGTTGTAGAGGGCGGGCATGTTATTTAAAAATAATGAATCGGTGTTTATTTTATGCTGTTGTTGAAATTTTCCCATCTTTTTTATCGGCATAGTTTGTACAGTGGAGATCAAGACGTAGATTTCCTGGATTGGCCTCAGAAATGATTTATTAAAGTCAAAGTTTGTGCAAAAAGAAATCATCATTAAAGACGTTTTGTTTTGCAGTTTGAGAGGATTTATGGAATTTGTTTTGCTTGATGTTGTTGGTGTTGTTTAATGGATCAAATGACCCGAAGGATTTATGTGGCGCGTAATTAACCCATAATTTCATTTTGAATGTAAAAATCTGTTGAGGGTGAATTTACTCCACCGCTGTTAAATTTTGCCAAAGCTAATTTATGTCAAGTTTCACACTGCTGCAAAGCTAATTTATGTCAAGTTTCACACGGCAGCTGCCAAAGGACGGCGTCTCACTGGTTTTATGTGTTGGTCACGGCTGAGACAAATCCACCATCGCCATCATCCACGCATGAATGCATGAGATCACACCTCGTTATAAAGTTGACCACAGCATGTAATACTGTTACCGGCATATTGTCAGGATGGAGGGAAAAAAAAAAACCCAACCTCTGAGAGCAAAATCAATTTTCGCTGTTTCTTTAAGACGTGCATGTGACTCCGTAGTAAAGCCAACATCCCAGAGGACACACATTTATAAAAATGCACTCTCACACACACACACTCACACACACAGAGTCTGGATACTGTTGCAGCTCTAAGCTGACTTGGAATGCAGCTCTTATTTGGCGAAACTTGTTTAGGAGTCACAAGACTGTTCATTGTTTGCTCCTGAACACAATCATTCCGGCGGCTTCTACTACTTTGGGCTGGATGATTGGTCCAATGGGGTTGAGCCTTTGTTTAATTAACGTTACAGAGACGTTAAAACCTGCAGATTTTACCAGGTGTAGAGTTTATGGGCTGTGTAAGAGAGAAGGGTGTAGCGGTAAAATGTTCCGATATAATAATAGTAATTCAAATTTCAACATGGTGGTAAAAATGCAAATAGGAATTTGGTTATTCCCTAAAAGCCTGTAGCATAGCCTGAGGTCATAATCCACCATATGAAACCTTTGAAGTTGTGCTCGGCTATAATAGGACAGGCCAGAGGGTCACCTGGGGTCAAGTACCAAATAATAAAAGTCTTGGTCTCATCCTTGGGATTCAAACAAAAATGTAAAATATGTGGAACCTGTTGGTAGAAGGTGGTTGCAAAGTTTTTTCTGGGAAGTCTCTCTGGTAAAGTTTTTAATACCTGTGGTGTGGAAGGTGTGGGGGGAGGAGTCTGGGGGGCAGAGGGGTCGCAGGACTGGTTGACCATGTTGCTACCAAATGGCAACTGGGTTGATTTGGCTACGCCACAAGTTTCACAACCACGGTCATAGTTTAGACAGTGAATATCCATCAAAGTTGGAGTAGCTAACTAGTAGCTAGCTCCGGTGTCTGTACCAGGACTGTTGTAGCTAACGTTAGCTCCGGTGTCTGTACCAGGACTGTTGTAGCTAACGTTAGCTCTGGTGTCTGTACCAGGACTGTTGTAGCTAACGTTAGCTCTGTGCTAGCAGCACTACATTTCCCATCAACGCTGTTACTTTCAGTCTACTTTCTACTAAAAGCTCCACTTTTAAACCCAAATAGCAATGTCCATTTTTTTTATACACAGTCTCTAGATGAACTAGAGTGAAAACGTCTGAGCTAAAGATGCTGCGTCTGCACTCTCACAAAAAGTCATTACGTGTTAACAATTAAAGCTGTGTTTTTGCTTTGCCGCTGTCCTATTGGCTCAGACTGAACATCTTGTTCATGTACATAAACCCCTCTAAGAACATGCTGTTTTGAGATTAATCCAACCACAGTGACAGCAGTGACTTTGTGTTTTTTTTTAAATGAATTCTCTTTGTTGAAGATGCTCCTGCGTTTCCTCGAGCTCAGATTACACTGACCTAACGTGACACAGAATTCCAACTCCACTGACTCAGTCTCTGGGCCCGGCAGAATATTTGGTTTGAGATTTTCTTTTGCTTGCATTCAGTGATAAGTCGTCTTTTGTGTGACACTCCCTTTTTACCAGGTCCTGTGTGTTGCAACAGGAAGTTGTGTCACCGATGTACCGTACATTAAAATAGGTTTTCCAAATGGGGAAATGTGTGTAATCGTCATGTGTTTTAACCATCATGCAACAGTTTTTTGCTCAGTTTAAATGTGGACCGTAGATGTGTGTTATCTGTAGATGCTACGCGTCAGTGTGAAGGTAATGTCCATCTGTCTTTGATACTCCCTGCTGACCGCTTCAGGGCGTGTCCTCTTTGTCATCCCTTATCTGCTGGGCTTGTCTCTAAGTTAATGTTCAACTTTAAATCAAAATTATTTAGAAAACGATGATATACATATAATTTTCTTCATTGTAACTTTTGAGCCACTCTGGGGTGAAATATAAATTGAAGTTTTTGCAAATAGCATGAAAAATAGATCTGTTTGATCAGGGGTAAAAAAAAAATCAACACAGTGATTATTTGGTCAGTATTGACATCATGATTATTTATTTATCATCATTACTCATTGACACTGAAAACACATTGATTGTATTGAACACAAACCACAGCAAACATGATAAGTTCCTTGACAAACTGTTGAACTTTCTTCAAAAATAATTGAAAATAAATTATTAAAATACTGTAAAATAAAAAACCCACTATAAATGAAATACTAAAAATACATAAACACAGAAGTAAAACCAGTTATACTGACTCATAGTAGTAAAAAGAAATGTTTTTCCCAAAGCACAATCAAAATTACATTAATTTAGCCACATTTAGCTTAAGATTAACCTTAAGAAAAGTTAAAGCTGAGATAAAGGGGTTTGTTTTTTTAACTGACAGAGAACTAAGAGTCTGATTAAAATTAGCCGGGGATTTCCCCAGCGTTAGTTTAAAATAGCCAGGATTTGGAAACATAGAGGACAGAATTACTCAAAGTTTTACAGGGAGCACAAAAAAAAAAACCAAGAAAGATGAATAATATAGTTGAAATAATTCTGTTTTTATCTTTCTATCTGTGCTGATAATGACACAGAGTTTTGGTGAAGTTTTCTGGTCTTCTACTTCATGGACAGTTGTGTTTATTATTCTCTTGAACAGCTGATTTCCTGTGAAGCTAAAGTGCTGATAATGACACAGAGTTTTGGGGAAGTTTTCATGGATTTGTGATTATTATTCTATTGAACAGCTGATTTCCTGTGAAGCTAATTTCCCATAAAAATTGTCTAAATATTTAGACGTTGTTGGGTTAAATTTCTAAGGTATGTTTAAATACTTTAATGACAAATATTAGTCCAAAGCCATTGTTCGGAGACATATTGACACTGACTGGCAAAACATTAGCTAAAAATATTAGTGCGTCTTCACAACTTCTTATTGGACGTCTTTGGTTTCAGGTTGAGATCTTGGTTGCGTTGGCATAAGGTTAGAATTCTGCATCCTGCCAAGGAGTGTCAATACAAATATAGATATATGTGTGTGTGTGTGTGTGTGTGCATGAGTTTGTGTGTAAGTGAGTAAGACGGACAGATTTGTGTGTGTCTGGCCTGTGACTCAGGACTGAGTTGGTCCTCAGGAGTCACATGGTTCCTTGTCAGCAGTCTGGAGGAGGAAACATAATCCCGTGGAGGAAGGTTGCAGTTATCAGTTGGCCCACGCTGGTGTGAGAACTCACTGGGCTGCGCCGGAGGTTGGACAACACACGCTGCGTCGACGTGCACACGCCTCGCCGCTAACTCTCTCCTCTTTTGTCTCCCTATCTCTCTCCCTTCTCCCTCTGTTTGTTTTTGCCCTGCACTCTGATCAGCCCCGGGTCGCTCCTGACAGCAGAGTTCAGAATTGCACTACCATGTCTGCGGTGGCTTCTCTGCAGTAAGCACACAAAGGTATGTGCTTTTTTTTTTTTTTTTTTTTTTTTTTTCATTACATTCTCAGTTTGCTGTAAAAAATAACTGGTGAATCATTAACTTTTTTTTAATTTTTTTTTTATGTTTTGCTCCTGAGCTCAGCTGCTGTAGCGTAGGTCAGGTCAGAGATTATGAGTCTTCACTCTTCACAGTCGACTTGAATGAGCAGTTGAGTGGACATTTGTAGCCATGGAAAGATGATGTGTAAACAAGTGCTGCTCAGTTACAGGTTGCAGGGCAGAAAGAAAAAAACAGAACCAAAAAAAGCTGAGTTGCAGCAGCAGCAGTAGCAGCAGCCTGTGCTCTTCTCTGTTATAAATGTGCTGTTGAACAAACAGTCGACAGCCAACGGTCGCTTAGAAATGCACTCCAGTACAACACAGTTATGTAGTGCACGATGTTTGTCAAAGGTGTAAGGTTATGTAATCAATGCAGGTTGTCCAGTTTAGGACATTTGTTTTTTACAACACTTCTCACCTGGAGTAGAAGAAAAAATACAAGAAAAAATGTAAAAAACTAAAAATTAGCTCATACCTAGCAAAAAAAAACTGGCCAACACTGATGTAGCTAATTTTTTAAGCTGCGAAATAGTTGTTAAAGAAAAAAAAAACACAAAAAAACGTGTACTACTGTAAAACTGTAGACAAAATGAATGACTGATGCTAGAGCCCAATGAATTTGGATGAAAATGAAATTGTCTCATTTTGAGCCAACCTGAAACAAATCCAACCGCCACCGTTGACTGAAGGACACGATCGTCTTCTCTTAAACCACGTTTCCCAACTCAAATGTTTTCTGAACGCCGGCGTTACATTTCCAGCTCGTGCACGTCCATCATGTGTACACGTTTAGGCAGTGTAAGGCAGCGGTTCGTGACGTTCCTGCGCGTCGTTCCGCTCAGATGTATAAATTCCTGCAGTCCTCGCTCAGTCACATGACAGCACTCCTCTGTGACCGTTGTCTCTTTGATAATGCAAACAGAAGTCAAACAGAAGTGACTTTCATTTCCAAACGCACGCTATTGATGAAACCCTAAACTGGTCGTGTCATCTGTGTAAACACAGGCCTGGCTGCTGCTCAGTGTCTGGACCTGGATTTGTCCTCTTTTCGTCTGTGTGTTTTTAATGGGCTGCTTTTAAAAATAGATTTATAATTTTAGAGCTCGTGCTTCAAAAAGATGAAACATCTACATGAAGAGTTTGGCAACTGAAGCTCGGTCGGTCAGTTTGTCTCTGGCCGAGCCTCAGTTTCAGGCTGTCGTTGGGAGTTTGACTCCGTCCAGTCATGTGACTGTCCCTCTATCTAGTTAAGGTTGGGATTTTTAACCTTTTTTTTCTATATTTAACCCAAAAGGTCACATCTGATTATAGGACAAATACGTTTACATCCTGTAAACAAAAAAACCCCACTAAAGCCTATCTTGTGTTTAACATTAAAGTGATAACTCCAGGTCTGTCACAGCTTAAAAAAAACGTTTAGTTCGATGCGTCACCAGCAAATTACTCCGAACTCTGACCTCATGTCTCTTCAGATCTGTTCGATCTGTTACCTTTTTAAAAATATCAACAGTTTCCTTTAAACTGAAATTTCCTTTAAAAAAAAAGACCATGATGTGAAAAAATGTTAACTGCAAAAAGTAATTTCAGACAACAATCTATTCTGAATATCCAATAATTCCACCGCCCGTTCACTCGCAAAACACGTGTTGTCATTTGAAAACACTGCAGGAAATAGTTTTCATTTTAACCAAAGCACCTCCAGCTTAAAATACCACTTTAAATCCCACATGCTGTGTGTGTGTGTGTCTGTGTGCGGGGGGGGCTTCAACCTCAGGTCAGTGGCCCTTCTGTTGTCGACTGACAGTCTGAGTGTCTCCATCATTTGCGTTAGTCGTGAATAAAAACAGGTGAGAAACACTGACCTCTACCTGCCGGTTTTTGTTCTTTCTCTTCCAGCGTTTTGTTTCAGAATGTGGATTAATGTTTAATTAATCCTCAACTAACCTAAATCTGACCGCTCTACAAAATACCATTAATAAAGTCATCTGGCTGAGACCAACAGGAGGGGGGGGGGTTTCTATGATATTACTTGAGGGGCTATAAAGAGTGCGTTACGTGCAGTCAGCTGTTACGTTGTTTGATTTTCATCTCTATTTTTAGATGTGTGATGGGTACAAACCTCCACATCGCTGCGGCGGTGTTTGTTTGTGACGGTGTCTTTGGACGAGCTGGTTCCACACTGTCCACGCTGTATTACTGCTGCTCCGGTGATTTCCCCTGATGTAGGGACAGCAGCTACTGCCACCTACAGGGCACATTTTCCACTAGTTGCAGCATTCCAAAGACATTGACAAAGACTCTAAAATGAGAACTCAAGTTTTCAACTCGAAAGGCCTCACCCATATCTTACACATTTCACGAGTTTACAGGAGGAATCTGATGCAATGTTTTGACCTTTCGACCTTGTGGGCGTCCGACAGCACCTCAGCAGGATGTGTTGGTTTTCAGAACTTCTTAAAGTCTCATTTATTCTACAACAAGTTGATAACGGTAGATTGTGGAAGACGGAGTCTTTCTTTTTTTTTTTTCCATTTTCCGTTCCTTCTGATGAGTCAAGTCCTCAACAATATCTTCTTGTTCCTGTTTTCAATTTGACTTCCTCTCTGTAGGGATGTCTTCCCATTTGTGGTTGGCACTAAATCCAGTATGGAAATCTTACATACTGTTTGTGAGGTACTGACTCTGGAGAGACAGAATTTCATCCCGTCCTCAGTCTCAGCACTCATTCACAGACTACACAATGAACAATCGGCTCCTTTTTTTCCCCTCGTTCCTCTGATTGTACCTGAGCGCAGACAAAGCGTTTTCACCACCTTGTGTGGGATCAAGGTGCCCACACGGGCGGTTGTAGTTGGACTTATTGTTTTCTTCTGATCATGATTGTTATCCTAACGGTATTATTACAGACCTGCGATCAGGTGGATAAGCCGGTTCCCATGGTTTTAGCTCAGGATCCCAGAGTTCTGTAACTCTATCCCTGTGTAGTCGGCCCTGCCTCTTCCACAGTTTCGGGCTCTAGGTTTACTGAGAAAATAATCTTGAAGAACGCGGAGCTACCGGTGGGTTCTGCCCTTTATCAGAGTTCCTGATGTGGTGGAACAGCTGACGGTGTGTCATCGTTGTTTGGCGCGTCGATAAGCAGTTTCTTCCAAAGAAATCGACAGCGTTTTCACGGCTGAGGTCCAGGGTTTCTGAGAAGGTTCACGTCTTTGTTTCACACACACACACGTATGAAGCTTCTGGATCTTTCTGCCTTTTTCTTCCCGTCCTCTGTTGCTGATCGTTCTGTTCTAAAACATACCTAGAAGTCTCTCCTTGTCAACAAGGTCATTGACGTGATACTGGTCGCAGAAACGGAGAGTCTCCGACCAAAGTGAAGGTCACGTAAGATAGACTGGACGAAGGTTGGCTTTCCAAGAATTCTTCACAATTTTTTGATTGGATTTTTGACAACCATCTTGATCTTTTTTTCCCATAAATTACACAAAATAAATGGCATTTTGGGAACATTTTAAAAAATATTATCACAAAAGTAATGTTATAAAAATAATTAAAATAATAAAACAATTTTTTGGCACATAATTTTCAAGCAAAATAGGGGGAAAAAAAGATTCTAAAACTCGAACACAAACGTAATTCTCTGTATAAAACCATTTTTTTGACACATTTTCAAGCAAAATATGATTCTAAAAACTCGAACACAAACGTAATTCTCTGGACTGGGTTGATCTCATTAGTTTCGTTCTTCTTATCATTTTATGAACTTCTCTTAATAAAGATTGTCTAATGTTGTATTGTTTCACAGACCACGTCCAGACGGCGACACGTGCGGCTGCTTATCAAAGGGTCCTCTGCACAGTAGCACTGCTTTATCTGACGCTTATCTCACTAATGGTTAATGACCTTGAGTGGCCGTCAGGAAGCTGCAGCGCGGCTTCAACTGTCGGAGCGCTCCTGTGTTTGGAGGAGGTGGTCAGACAGGTGGTCAGACGGGTGGTCACGCTCCTGCTTCTGGTTGTAGTTCTGAGCAGCTTCGACTGCAGTTGTGTTTATGACCATGGGTTGGCGTCCGAGGTCTTGAATGTTCTCGTACGTTCTTGATGACGCCTCGCTGTGATCACATGTCACAGGCGGTGAGCGGTGCGCTGACTTCAGCTGACTTTTGCACTTCAGGTTTTTTTGAAGCTCAGATCTGCGGCTGAAGTGCTGACTTGTACTTTGTTTTATATTTTTTGTCTCTCTCAGCATGTTTGCCATATTGACCACTGTGTTTGTTAGAGAGATTTGTCAACAACAAAAATATAGGCATTCAGTAGCAGTGATGTAGTGAAGAAACGGTCGCTTTGTTCTTTGTTCTCACTCACAGCTTCTGCCTTTTTATTGGAAATGTATGAAACTCCCCTGTTGCAAAACAAACAAATGTTGTAAAATCTTGACTTTACAAATTACTGGACAGCCTTCAACACTATTGTTATTTTAGGCTTTAAACTTCTAAAAGTTTAGAGGTTTCTAGCAGCCAGTTTGCCTGTTCGCTAACTCAATGGTTTAAAGCTAGCACGTAGCTTCTTCAGACGGATGTCATGAACTAGAGGTCGATCAGCGGTTGTGCTTTTTATTAACTTATATCGACCCAAATATGAATTTTATGTTAAGTTGGATCTTTTATTTTGCAGTCGCCCCCTGGTGGCTCAGTGCTCCTTTCTCCTCCAGTGTTTGCGTGCAGCTCAAAGCATTTCCATGTCTAAATACGTTGTTAATGACTGAGAGCACGAGTATCTGGGCAGTATGACATTGAATACAGCTTCCATACTTAATACTAGGTCTGACCTCCTCTTTGTGTACTTTGTGTACTCTGTGTTTATGGCAGTAATGAGCCCCAGTCTGCACTTCACCCACCTTCACCTCCTGTTTGTTGCAGGATGTTTTTTTTCCTTCCACCAGTTTTACCTTCGCTCACTCCCTTTGGTCACGACTTTGTCTGAAGGTCAAAAATGTTCAGTTGTTTTGTTGTTCACAGTGGGTTCAAAGCCGAGCGGCCAATCGCACGAAAGATTACAGGCTGTTGTTAAGTGAAAGGCTTAACCTTTTAAGTTTGGACCTTTGACCTTACTCCCAGAAAACTGCCAGGATATTTAATTTCAGGATTTTTCCCATCTTTAGTGAAACCTAAAATGTCTTAGTCCAACGGTTCCCAAAAGTTTTTTGGGCTGCACCCCCACTTCTATATCCCAGCTGTGTTGATGCACCCCCCCCCAATTCCCAAGACCTTTGAGAAAAAAAAGAGAACACACAAATAAACAGCCGACATATATTTATTAATTAAAATGTCAGCATTTGATTGTATATTTTATTTTTTTATTGTTTGGAAAAACTCCAAAACACTCCAAATTGCTGTTCATTTTCATCTTGTGCACCCCCTAGTGGCAGCTCGCACACCCTCAGGGGGTTTAAGTCAATTAAAAACAAATTGTGAAACTCCATAAAACATCAGAAATGATGTGGTTTACACTAATGGATTCTCAAGCTGAAGGCTTAAATATAAGTGTTTTTTTTTTACATTTTTTGACAGTTCCCTGAAGATTTTGTGTCACAACTGACTTGTTTGTAAATCGACAGTAAGAGAACTTCCTGTAGTTTATTTATTATTGTTGTAATTTTTAAAAAAAATGTATTTACTGTGATTTCTGTGAGTGGCTGTTGGGTTTTAGTTATTGTTTTAAATCACGTAAAAAAAAGACTAGTGGGGAAAAACGAGTGGTTTCACTCCATGAACGTAAGAATGTCCCACAGATAAGGATGTTGTCTGAGGGTTTAAAGGCCTTCACTGCTGCACCAGTGAACAGTGAAGGCCTTGTTGTTGCCCTGAACTCCAGTGGGCCAATAATGCACTGTATCCTTATGTCGGTCCTCGGTGGTTATTCCTCACATTCAGATATTACTGGCCTGCAGCTGTGTCTCTGACCTCCGTGTGCACTAATAACTTCTGGATTTGTGTCTCTCTGTGTGTGTGTGCCTCCAGGTTATGCTGCCCAAAAGCTGTCTGAGTCCCAGTGAGAAAGAGAAGGGCTAAAGTCGCACAGATCCACAGCAGCGTTTCCACGTCCTCCCCAGCAGCAGCAGCAGCGCCTCCACTGCGGAGCCATGAGCAACCCCAGCGCTTCCAAAAAGATCACAGACGCCGTGGAAGCGGTTATTCAGAGCGTAAGTGAATCTGAGTCTGTCCACGGCCGCCTGATAAATGACACGGCGTTCACTGTAAACGTTAGGTTACAGTCCTTTGATGTACCGAGACGACGGGTTCTGCCTCGCTCCAAAACGTTCAGTTAAGACAAATTCATGGTGTCGTGCTGCGTCAGCCGTCTCCGTCCTCTCTGACATTACACTCTGTGTGTGTGTGTGTGTTTTGGACGTCCTAGTCCTGGCCCGTCTGCAGACAAGTGTACTTCACGGCGTCCGTGATGAAACAGTACGTGTTCGTGCAGAAGTATTAAAAGAGACAGAGGCAGCTAAAAAAAAAAAAAGTGCAGCTCGTGTTAAAATCCTCTCAGGCTCCAGACTGAAAACGTTGGAATTTGGAGACATTTGTGAGTCAGTGAAACCAAATTATATAACCAGGAGCAGCAGTCAGACTTGAGATTTGTCCACTGGTTATTTTCTCCCTGGATACAGTCCTTAAAAAATATAATTTATGTCTCTTTTCTATTTTTTTTTCTAGCTAACTCTTAGCTGCTCCTAAGCTTACCAACACATAAATCTTAGACTTTCAGCTATGAATTGTTTATTAAATAATTCCATCGTGACTATTAATGATTATTATTCAGTTTTCTTTGGTTTTTAGTCAAACTATTTGGACCAGTTTATTTTTATATGACAGCGATTTTAAGTTTTGTTTTTGGCTAGTTTTCACCAACTCTTAGTCGGTTCTTAGCTAAAATTAAGCTAATGTTTTATTGAATTTAAAAACTTTATTAAACTACATTTTTAGCTTGGAGCTATTTCCAGCTTTTGGCTGCTTCTAAGCTAACATTTAGTTAATGTTTTAGTTACCTTCCTTGGCTAACTACTAGGTATTTTAAAAATAATTTCAGTTGTTTTGGTTTTTTTTAGCTTTTTGAACCTGGCTTTTCTTGACGTCTTACTCATAGCTGTTTCACTATTTTTGGACATCAGAAGAATTCAAAGCCTCCACGATAAGACTTTCAAGGACAAATTCCAAATTTTTTTAGGGCGTTCTGCTTTTATTGCCGACCGACGTCTGACCTTTATCTGCCATTTTCATTCATTTGAGGAAGAACGTCGGGCGTTCCACATCTAAAACACGTTTCCTTCCTTTTTTTCTTTGAGCTGGCAGGGGTGAAAACAATAAAAATAATACTGGCACTGTGTAAAATAACAAAACACAATTACATGAACGCTGGTGGAACTGATGTGATAAACACGACTGGCCAAAGGAACACGACATTCTTTTCCACAAATTCATCTCAGCGTCTCTAAATGTGCTAAAGCAGAGAATATCAGACGTTTTAAAGTAAAATAAACCTAATTCTGAATTTCGTATCACACCGCCAACACTTTCTACATGTGATCAATTCCCAGGATAGTATTCCAGGAAGAGGGAAGGATTCTGTCTTGGTTTATTGATTCACTCACTTCTCTGAGCGTATCATGTTCTTTTAGCACTTTTCCATATTTGTCTGCGTTCCTTCTCTTGATTTTTGTCTGGAGGTCGTCAGGCGGGGGCATAACCGAGTGAACGACGCTGCTCGGAGACACTGTCAATTCAACGTGGTTCCTCGTTAGTAGTACTGTTTGGACAGATGGTTAAAAAAACATGTTTTTATTTCCCAATCTCTGCTCGTGGTTGTGAACGCAGCAGCGTTTACAGTTCAGCAGATGGAGGAAATGGCTTTCCCTTAGTGTTGCACTTTTTTGTCAGTGTTCTGTCAACTTCTTCCTTTTCTACTCCTTCACAAACGCGTGCGTCCACAGAGACAACACTGGTTGGATACACACAACATACCGTCTGTCCCAGTTTGAAACCTAATCCCAGCAGCCCGGGCCTAGAATGCAGGGCATTTAGGAGGAGAATGTGGCCCAGTGTGTTGCCACCATCGAGAAATTCTGTCTTCTCATCCACTTGTTTGATGTTAGTTAGTTTACTTCACGAATTATTATCAATTCTTGTTGGGGTTCGGGTTTAAACCGAGGACCAGATGTGTTTCTAGACACCCTGTGAGTCCCAGGGACCATGGAGGCCCTCCTGTCCATAATAATCATGGAGGGACCATGAAGGCCCTCCTGTCCATAATAATCATGGACCGATGTCAGCCGTCTCTCGGGGCCCCTTCCAGCCCGGGGTCCTAGCCAAATGCCTGTGTTTCCCTGTTACCAATCCACTGTCGAAGACCCCTCTATATGGAAAACCACAAACACCACGTTTAAATATTTAAGCAAAGGAAATTAAATTCAGCTTTTTCTAGGACAGTGAAGGCATCACTGCCATAACTTTCACCTGTGTTCTGTGAGGTAGGGTCAGCACCAGCAGCCCACGCCGTACATCCCCCTCCCCTCACTACATAACGGGTATAAATGTGAAAGACAATAGGGTCAACTGTGGGTCAGTGGACTGGGTCGTCCTACAGCTAGAAGGTCAGGGATCTGGTTGCATGCCAATGTGCTCTTTGGGATGAAATCCATCACACACTTGTGAGATGGCGAGACATAATTGTCCCTCGTCCGTCTCTTATTTTCCTTGACGGCGATGAAGTGGAAAACTGAGGGAACACCGCGTCCAGCCCGGTGCAGAATATGGAGCGGAGACCTTTAGCGTGACCCGTCTTTAACTTTGTCCACCTTGAACTATAATGAGGAGTTAAATTACATGCTGGAGGACCGGGGCCGGCTCATGTCTTTATGGTTAATTATAGCCAGAATCACAGACGGTGTCATTAATCTGAGTGGACGAGAGAGCGCCGCCGCTCTGCTGAACCAGACGGTCCACGTTGGTGGCGTGAGGATCGGGAACCCGAGTGCAGATAAAAAAAAAAGAAAGTGTTTGCTGTGCGACTAGTCCTCTGCAACGATTGGCCCCGTCCTCTCCCCGTCCTCTTGCCTTCAACGCCATCTGGTTAATGATTGTCTTCCTGACAGTGTGTGTGTGTGTGTCTGTGGGCGTGCACGTGCGCGGTCAGGGAGCGTTCAGATCCTCCTGTTTAGATTTTTAAGAGCTTACATTGTGTAACAGTGTGGATCGACGTCTTCTTCCCACCCCGGACCGTCTTGTCTTGATCATGTGACTCAGGGGTGTAGTGAAAAAAAGGAAACGGTTTCAAAGAGGCCGACACTTTAGAAAAGGAAACACGTTTTTTTTTTCTTCTTCTTTCTTTTAATTCAAAAGTAGCAGCTGTTTTTCTTTATTTAATATACTGAGTTTGATTTGATGGACTTTCTGTTTGACCTGAAGGTGAGTTTGTTCAGTTGTAGTATAAGAATCAGTGTGTGTGTGCGTGTGTGTGTGTGTGTGTGATGACGACCTCTTACCATCCCCACTCATTTCACTCTAAACCACCTGTCTGAAAAAGGGAACGTTCTGAGTCACACGTGTGTAAACCCACTCTGCGTCTGTGGGTAAATTTAACCTCTGCACGAACTCCACCGCTGGTTAATGTTCAGTCCACTTCTTCACCTCCTTTAGACGCACGCTACCGCGGCGACGGCTCATTGAACCTCGCCGTTGTTATTAGAAAGCCCAGGTAATAATTACAGCCCAGTGCTAATCGTGTCGGCCGGGGATGACGACACGTTTCTGTAGAAAAGGAAAGGCGCGAGGGCAGTTTATCTATTAAATTAGAGCAAAGATGAAGAAGGAGCGGCCGAGCTGATCGTAGCTGTCGAGCTGTTTACCACCTGTCGAACGCTTCAGTTTAGCACAAAGGGTTTAAACAAACGATGTAAACATCAGTTAAATGAGTGACCTATAGAGAAGTCCATGAGGGGAGTGTGGGGGGGTCTGTCCTTTGGAACCAACGCCTCGTTGTTTTTCTTAGTTATGGTAAACAGTTTAAACATTTGACAATTATTACACAAGTTTTATCGAGAAAGAAAAATATTAAAATTGTTAAAACCTCTTGGAAATCGAGAAGAAAATACTGTGAAGAAAAAAGAAAAGAAAAAATGTAATATATATAAATATAAACATGTAATATATTTGAACGATTGACCATTCTTTTGGTGCATTAAAGTACAAAGACAGGGACAAATACCTGAAGTCTTCTAAACCACCAGGAGACATCGTTTTGATGACTCAGATTTAATTGTGTGGACTTCCATCTTAAATTTGATGTTTCTTCACCAAAGAAGCAGAAACAGAAACGTGAGACTCACCTCAGACTTGAGGTTCGGTGACTCGATGGCGACCGGGGCTTATTTCAGCTGTCGACTAATGTGTTGTTGACGTTTGTTTTGAATTACAGTCTGGATCGTTTCTGGAAAATAAGGACGGCATCTGAGACGGGGATGAGGTTGTTTACAGGCAGCGGGGGGGTGAGGGGGGTCAGGGGGGGTTACTGTAAGGAGGCTGAGCTGAAGTTGTGGGAGGGGGCGAGGTTAGAGGTGAATTTAGAAACTGTGACAGTGAGATGTTTGAGATGGAGTTCCCCGTCTGTAGGAAATGGAAAGAAAGCCTGTGTTGAAGGAGGATAGAGTGGGAAGAAGTTGTCACATTCATTCTGTGGTTTGGTTGTCAGGAGGACAGAGTGAGAAGAAGTGGTCACATTCATTCTGTGGTTTGGTTGTCTTCTCTTCAAAAATGATCTGATCTTAACAGGAAGTTTTATGGAACCGATTGATGAAGAGTTGAAGATGATGAAATGTATTGACGTATTTGACGTATTTTCGTTGGGGATGAATCAGCACCGATTTCATCACGTAGTAAACTGGAGGAACACATGTAGGCCAGATCAGCCAATCAGAGCTCAGTTTGCTGTCAACATTGAGACACTTCTGTTGTCTGTGTTTTCTGTGTTTGCAGCTGCTTCCCTCTCTGCGTTTATTTATTTAATGAATTAATTTATTGAATTATTCTTTTGCCTCAAGTACACATTTCCTTGTTTATGAGTCGGTGCCCGTTCACGTTGTTCCTGTAACTGTCACGGTCATGAACTCTCAGACAGGAAGTTCCTCTGACGTCTATTTTTGGCAGG